CATTTCTTGGTTGTTGTACAGGGTGCGAAAAAACTGCTTGTTCAATGTTACAGCGGTTGTTCCTTTGACACTTGTAAACAATAAGGGAGCAATGTTGGTTACCACGTCCTCTATCAGTGATTCAAATCCACTTCTCAGCGCCTTCGTTTTCTAGAATAGTTGGACTATATTTCCGCCGCGCCATGACCACTCAGTTGAACGCTCTAGTCTCAGTGCAAAAACAATAGCAAAAATGCTACTAGTACGTGGCGTAATTGTGGTGTTTGTCATCAAATAATAAATTTGTTTGGAGCACCTACGCGCCACAGTGGACGGCCTTTCCTCGCAACTAAAGGCTAAAGTTTGGTGCGAAAGAGACCGTTTGAGATGTGGCCGGGTTTGGTAATGGCATTTCATTCGTAAACTGCTATTAAAAAAACGAGCCCTCAGTTGGTTGTTTTACAGTTCTTACAATGGCAGTAATTTGAGCAAGCAATTTTGGCGCATTATCAAGGGTCTAGGGCAAAGTTGTAACCAGTTTTCTTTAGTCCAAGGCCAACAAAGCTTGATCAAATCATAACGAGCAAACAAATGTGAAGCTCCAACGTGCCGTCCGCTTATTTATTAAATTAATCGGGGTGAGCTAAACATTGTGGAGTGCGCCATGCATCCAGCTTACCCTCAGAAGTGTCGAGACTTATGAACGTGCTAAAACAAAGAATTTTGGTTGCCAGCTAAGTCGAAAATGTTTCCAGGAGAATGATGACCACAGCTGATGAGCCCGAATATTCATTGTATGAGCTGGTCGATCCCACGATCAATGCAGCTCGTGAGCGGCCACCCACATCCGAAACATGACGATGTGGGCACAACTTTGTTTTATTGCTAAAGTTGCAAAGAAAAGTAATGAGAGGCTCGTGACAAATACTCAGGCGAACTACCACCGCGGGTGTAAAACTTGCAGGGGGTTCTTTTACTATTACACACATGTTCAAGTGCTTGGGCATTTCTTAGGAATCTAGTTCATGCAATTAGAGAGAGTTCGTCGCGCTTTTTCTAAGACGAAGAACGAGTTCAGAGGAGCTTACTTCTCTAAAAACTGTCCTCTAACATTCAAACAAGGCAACCTTGCTTTAAGCAACCTTTTCCTATGACTAACCACTACGAGAAACTTCGTCTGGGCATTACTCACGTCTTGCATGACTACACCTGCGCCGTTGACGCACATTACAGCGTAAGATGGCAATAACATCTTGAAACCCTTCCACTGTGAATGCAATCCGCTTACCAATTAGACATTCAAGGATGGTTGCATTTTGGCTCTGTTTTTGCTATTTTCTGCCTGTATTCTTCCTGCGGAGCAGGTGGTGTAGTGGCAAGGCGGCGCTGCGTACCACGCGCTCGGGGATCGAATCCTTGGTTCTGCTATAGAGATCCTCCCTATGATCAACCGAAGCCTATTTACAAAATTGGAAAAACTGAACCACCGAAGCCACAAATAGATATTTCTTGTTTTGTTTAGCCCATGAAAGGCTTCTGCAGTTAGAATAAAGTATCTCTCGTCTCCCTCGTCTCAATGGCAGTAGTGGCATCCGACGACTACACCTGCGCCGTCGGCCATCCAGGCCTTCTACCCCTCCGGGATCGGTAATTGGTGTCAGAATTGTCTGGGAAGGATAAAGACACTGACTTGTACATCGGCAGGCACCAAAAATCATTGTATAGGACAAATCGCATTCAAAGCGACCTACGAATATACAAATGTAAGTAGAATGCGTGCCACATCCCGTAAAGGGATCGATTGCTTTATCCTTATCATTTGTTTATCCTGCAGATCTCATTTATTTTCATAGTAATCAATATTTCAGTGTTAGTTAAACATTAATATTGTCGTAAACAAACGAAAGTATCCACCAGCTCGAACTTAATTTTTGTAACCATTGCCTTTTTCAAAAAATATTGCTGCATGAAAAGTCACAAAAATTTAATTTATTATACCTACAGCAAACAAAAATGTGTAAATGATGGTGAAATTAATTGCGGCAGGTACCGACTTGATAGGCTCTGCTGAATGCCATATAAAGCTAATAGTAATCAGACATGAACCGAACATTAATAAAGAAGTCGTTACATTTGAGATTAATCTTGCTCGAGCTCATTAGTAACTATAATAAATAAAAATAAGTTTTTGAAAAGGAGTCGTTCATTGAAAGAAAAAAAACTGGGGAAAATCATGGCATTCGCTGAATGACGACGGAAATCAAAATTGAGAATTTCTTGTCCTCTATGTTGAAGCCGTCTAAACGGACTCGCTTCCTCAACGTCCTATATTTCATTAGAAGAAATGAAAGGCGTAGTGAAAGCGGATTATCCCACGTCTAAGACACGTAATTCTTTGCCGCATCGATTTGAGATTATTCGGTATACGCCACTGACTTACACCGCACAAAACATGCCGACGTTTTCTGATGGCACAAAGCGATAAGGAATTCGGAATATGAGCAAAAGAAGAAGGAAGCGAGGGAGCGAACGGCTTCAGCGATACTCCAAGTGATAGTGTAGCCCAATAGTATAATTGAAGGAATAGACATAAGAATAACGTTGTTAAGGTGAAGATTCACACCGTTTATCGACTCCCGATCGAACGTTACTCATTCGTCATTCGCGACCCCCATTGAATGACCTTGTGTCACCGTCGTTTAGTTTTCCGTCCACCTGGCCATTCACCTTGGCCATTGTCCAGTTGTATTCCTTTTATTTCAACTATCTGTTATTATATTCGCTGTGTGCGTTGTTATTTGCCTCTGGTGGTCATCCTCTTGTTCAGAATACTCTTGTGTCTGCCGCATAATTACAGTAAAACCAATTGGCAATCACGAATCTTGCCTTTCAATGTGAATTAGCCTCCCCTTCAAAAAGCGAGCAAGTGTCGGGTGCAGACCAAACATCACACCTGACGGCGGCCTCTAAGTAAGTTTACTTATATGTTGCTCGTAGTGATAGCTGATTTCTGGTAAATGATAGTTGTAATTAGTGACAATCGATAGAATACAACTGCAACAGGCTAATCATTTCATTGGCAGAAAACATTAACATTTTGTGAAGGCCGTCGTCACTTGTGGTGCATGGTCTGCACCCGACACTTTCTCGCTTTTTGAAGGGAGGGGTACGTGAAAAGGCGAAAAGAGTAGGAACAGGTGATTGGATTTTACCCAGACCAACCAATCCTTCGAACGAAAAGTCGCCTAGTTAATACTAGACTCACTTGTCAGGATAATCCAAGTTCAAATCATGGCACGATGAGTTCAGCGAAAATACTCTTTATATCTCTGAGGCTTTATGCTGAACTGCTCGGCAAAGCCTTGAAATGGACCTGCGCTTTGGCAGTTCTAGCCTACATAGACTTGATGCGTGTAGAAATGTTGCTACGATTGTGAACGGAAGTCGATATCAGTGCGCATCTTGGGGCTATTGACGATCCCCAGTTGTTCTAAGCTTTGAAAATGTTCATGCAGAAAACAGATATGCCTACAGAAATCATAGCTGTGGCTTACAATTTACAATTGTTGGTAGCTCTTTACTCAGCCATTCAATCTTATCATAACTATCGGCCACTATGTATTCACAACCCAGCATTCTTGTGAAAGTTTCGCAACGCGACCTGCGGCAAAATTCCATTTGAAAACCAAAAACTGGCGAAATCAATTGCTCAAGAATTCAGCCTCGCGCTTCACTGCCGATTTCGGCTAGCCGGCTCAACAATTTAGACGTGTGAGTACTGACAAGCTGTGGTTTGTGCGTGAAAAGCTGAAATGGGGTGAAATGGTGCCCCGGTAGCGTAACTCGTAGCATTCTTGCCCGGCAAAGGAGAGGTGCCGGTTTTAGTTCCCGCCTGGGGCGGAAAGCTTTGTTCATAACCCAGCATTCTTGCGAAATTTTTTTTATCTTGTCTTGTCGGTTCGAAATAAATCAAAATCGAATCAATCAATTCATATCAGACAAACAAGCTTCAATATGGGCTAACTTATGATATAATCGCTCTCTTCAGAGATACAGCAGTCACGACAGATGCGAGTTTGAGTCCCGCCTGGGACCAAAGTTTTTGGTTCGACAAACCCAGCATTCTTGTGAAACTATCGATAGTGTTTCTTCATGTCTGGTTTTCTTCATAATGTTGGAAACCATGTGCGAAAGGGGGCAATGTATACTCAGTTTTGGAAGACGAGAAGAGATGGAGAGATTGCACTTAGCGCTCTTCCCGTCTTCCAGAACCGCTGCGCGCCGCACTTTAGATTGGCACCAGTACACTAACACGAACAATGAAGGAAAGCCAAAACCATTTCAGAAAAAAATAGAAGAAAATTGTGATTGCTTAACCGTTAGCCGTTTCTCCTACGAAAAAAAAAACAGAAGGGCAAGCAAATTTCTCAAATCGACCGCGAACCGTGCGAAACGAGACGCTATCACGTCATCTCTTTGTGCGTTACGTGTTTGGTCGGAACGGGTCCAATCCACTCCTCTACGCCTTGGACCGTCGACACGCCCCCTGGTGATAAGTACGTACTTTCTGATTGGCATTGAATTTCCAATAGATGAAATATTATGGCATGTGAAAGCCTGCACGCATCGGCTTCCGATTTTACACAATCCTAGACTTGCTCGAAATGCAAGCAAAACATCTCCGTTTTCCGCATCGTGCTTTCTCTATTCTAGATGCTGTCATTTGAGGGAATTGATCATGATGGCTTGGGGCGGTGCGGTATTGACGACTTCGTCGTACTTCAATTGTGGAGTACAGTACTCATCACAATGTGATTGAAACCCACCTCTTATGATGCCCTTCATACAAATGACGTTCCTATCAACCACAATCGCCGGCGCTACAGGCGACCGTGGGTCACAGACTGAATAACGCCACAACTTGATAATAGGGCATATTCGCGCAATGTATTTGTAGTTACCCAAGCATTGATGACAAAACAAAGTCTCATTTCAGTTTGTACCTACTCAAATGAGCTGATATGATGGTAAGTACTGAGGGAAAGAAGTTTGTAATTATTGGCAGCGGTCCGACCGCTTTGGGTGCTGCCTATAGACTCCACGAGCTTATTCATGAAGGTAGTCTACCTGAATCCACACAGGTAGGTGGATCTATCACTCGCCGCTTCTTAGCTAAGCATGAATTTCACCAAATGGTCAATATTAAGGTTACCGTACTCGAGAAGGAGATTGAAGTAGGCGGTTTAGCCCGTTCAGTCACTGATCGACGAGGCTTTACATGGGATCTTGGTGTACATGTAACAGGTGCGTTGGTATTCTGTTAGATATCTCCGTGCTCTTTTTTACCAAAGAAGCTCTGCATTCTGAGCGAAAAAATTAACATGCAGGGTGAGGGGGGTGGTAAACAAAGAACCCTTCTCTCATAGCGCACATCACCAAACTTCCGTTGCACACGGGGCCACCGTTCATGCTAAAACGACAAAATATTCCTTGGATGTCTCACATAAGCGGAAGCACGCCCCCCTTCACAGGGTCAAGCGAACCGTTGAGGAAAAGTTGGAAGTACGACCCCTCCCTCCTCCCCCAGAGGCAAAGAAAGGAGCAAAGAAAAGAAGTGAAAAGGAGCAAAAAACGAGAAACTAGTCACTAAAAATGGCATTCTATGACCACATCTCTTCTTATTTACTTCCTTCTGAATACTTACACAAAGTTGTCGTATTACACAGAGTATTGGTTGCGAAGTTATACGGCAGAGTCAACCCTGCGTTGCGCAGTTTCTCAACGGCCACGTTGCGCAGTTTCGCCCGATTAGACACGTTCTCTCGCGCGAACATTCACACTCGCATGCTCGAGCCGTCTGTGTCTCCGCCCATACAGCGTGCGTTGAGGATCTCTCAACGTGCCGTTGCGAACTGCGCAACGCAGGGTTGACTCTGGTTGCGTCCCCATTTTAGCTGAAAGAAGCCTTGTAACCGCTTCAGCCAGCTGTGCGTTGATTGGATGTTGGCATTGGCCTTGGAGCAACTAATCTACTTTTGCATTGAACACATTTTCAAATGATTGTAACATTCTTTGAAGGGGACGAATTTTCAATCCAAATGCAGTTTTAGCAGTTTCGTAAAGAGCTCTTTCTAAACAGTGTTGAAATTTAGAAAATTCATGACACTATTCAACTATTACAACCCCAAAATCTCAAAATTTTGAATTTCCTCGAAACTTCGCCTATAGGGGTTATTCGATGCCCTGATTACGAAAATGAACTTCATTTTCGGCGTTTGGCGCCAATTTGGCGCCAGGGCTATTTTCACCAAATTCGCTGTAAACTTGCACACAGGGGTTATTTAGGTCCCTGATTACGGATATGTCATTCGTTTTTAGCATTTCCACCGTTCAACGCACATTTTCCATTCTCCTGGGTCCTCTCACTTGTACATAATACCTAGGACTGAGCCTAGAAGGAGGGAGGACTCCGGGGTGGGTGAACCAGTCAACATGTGGCAAATATAAGATCACAGGATAAGTGTTATTCACCTCGGAGCACTCCTCCTCCTCAAAGGCTTAGTCCCGATCGCGAGCTGATCAGTGAGAGGGCGCAGACGAGCGGAAAACAGGCGCCCACTGGCGCTAGCTGGAAAAATGAATGTTGTATTCGTGATCAGGACCCAAATAACCCCTGTATACAAGTTTCCACCGAATTTGGTAAAATAGCCCTGGCGCCAAACTGGCGCCCATTGGCGCCACGTCAAAAATGAATGTCATTTTCGTTCAGGGCATCGAATAACCCCTATGGGCGAAGTTTAGAGGAAATTCGAAATTTTGAGATTTTGGGGGTTGTAATAGTTGAATAGTGCCCTTTTTGCTGCCAGATGAGACTTTCT